CATAAAGAGAAATGAAACAATGGTCTGGAGGCATCAGATGCAGAAAGTGATCAACATCTAATTAGTGTGACAGCAGAAACTTAAATTTGGGATTCAAAGTTCATCATCGGGTCCCTATCATCGGGTCCCTATCACTACCCAAAAGTCCTTAATCTCTCTTTAGGCCTACTCAGCTACTCAATTTCATTTTCCTCAAGTTCCAGCAAAATTCTTATTCCATGCGCTTTCAGGGTCTGCTGCGGCTGCATTCTGCACCTACCGCATGAACCACAGACTGCCTTTCCGCCAGACTCCAGCTCCTCCGTCGGAGGGAGGCAGGGAGCCATGGGAGGGACACAGTATAAACAGGCCAAGTCCCGGCCCCTCTGGGAGCTTAATCCCAGAGCGTCTAGTATTGTCTGGGCTTGAAGCCGAGTATGATTTGTACTGCAAAGAGGTACAAAGTTCTGCGAGCCGCCTTGAAGGTCTGTGCACCCCTTCATGACGCATAGGTTTCCTAAGGAACCCAGAAAGCATCGATATTTTTTAAGAAGTGGCTCTCCCACAAAATGCAAGATTGGTAGTTTCTGTTTTGTTTTGATTCTAAGAAAGGGAATTTTTAATTCTAAGACAGGGAAATCTTATCTGTAGAAGAGAATTTGGGGGTGTCCCAAACTGCGTTGACTCTCCAGTTCAATGTTGAATTTTAAGACTAAGGAAGCGGGCTTCTAGTGGAGCAACTGGTTTTCCCAAGGTCACAAGTGAGCAGCTAGTAGTACGGAAGTACGTCGCGACCCTAGTCCGGGGACAGGTCTCCGGAATGCGCTCCCTACGCTAGTGTTTATCCCGCTGCCACGCCAGCTCCCAATCCCCAGATCAGTGGGCAACTTGACACCCGCTCGAGCAGCCGAGCCTGGAAGCCGGCTGCCCTCCGCCAACCTCGGGGCGCGTGGGAGGAGTGCTGGCCGGGTACCCACGTCCCAGTCCCCGGACCCCGAGCAGAGTCCGCTGAGCGACAAAACAGAACAGGCCAGGCCAGGCCAAGCAAGGCCCAGCCCCGCCCCGCCCCGCCCCTCCGCGCCGCAGCCGCACGTGCAGGGCCTCGTGCAATCGCGCCGGCCCCGCCCCCTCGCCCCATTGGCTGCCTTGCGCCTTTCCCTGGCTGCCCCGCCCCTCGCGGTTAGACTCGGCTGCTGCTCCACGTGACCCTCGGGGCTGGGCCGTGGCGCCCAGTCCCGCCTCCCTCCCCGGGGTGGCTTCTCGGAGGGAAGGAGGGAACAGAGGCCACGATGGACTGGGAGGAAGCCTGGAGCCACGAAAGTGGTGGCTAAGAGGACACGGCCGACTAAAACGAAGTGAGGAGCTCCACAGAAGGCCACGGTGCTCCGGGGCGGCCGAGGCTATGCTCCTCACCTGGCCCCGCACGTGTCTAGCTCGTTTGGCCCCCACAGCCAATCCTGGCTCGAGGAGCTGTGCCCGCCCTCGCGCAGAGCCGGCCAATCGGAAGCCACGCTCCGGGACGGCCGGCCTGGCTTCATGAATAATGAATGAGACGGGACCCGTCCGCGGGCGGGGCAGGGACGGAGGGAGGCGGGGGTGCGGTGGCGCGTCTGCGCAGTGCCGCCCGTGTCAGCAGCTGCGGCGGGTCGAGCCGCTCCGGCCCATCTCGGGGTGCGGGCGGGGGAGGCGAGACGCAGGAGCGGGGCTTAGGGCACGATGTCCGACGCGGGCGGCGGGAAGAAGCCGCCTGTGGAGCCGCAGGCGGGGCCAGGCCCGGGGCGTGCTGCTGGGGAACGGGGCCTGTCGGGCTCCTTCCCTCTGGTCCTGAAGAAGCTGATGGAGAACCCCCCGCGCGAGACGCGCCTCGGTGAGGGGGGGGGGGCGGCTCGCGCGTGTCTGGGGGCGGGGTTTCTGCAAGGGCGGGGCCTTGTGGGGGCGGGGCGGGCCTGGTCAGAGGTCAGGGTGAAGTGGTCCAGCGTAGAAGGGCTATGCGGGTCAGGAGAAGACTAGGGCCCTGCTGGACTAGGCCTGGGGTCGAGAGAGAAAGACGGGGGGGCTGTCTGGAAAGGACAGGTCAGTGGAACTTTGCAAGGAAGCAGCCACTTAGATCGGGCTCCAGCGGGGCTGCCTGCATCCAAATCCCTAGGAAGCCGCTTGCCTAAAATGCCGGTTCCTGGGCCTCACACAGTCAGCGGATCCTGGGATCAGAAGCTTGTAAGAAGCATCCCACTGCACCACCGTGGGGTGCAGAGCCCACCACCAAAGTTTGAGAAGCACCGATCAGTGTAGCAGATGGCCTTTGTATATCTTTGGCCGGTCCTGGAGGAGGACGATTCTTCCTCTCTGGGAGTGGACATGGAGTGGGGTCTGCCGTGGTGCTTTACTGGAAGTGTGTCCCTGGGCAGCTGCTGGGGTGCAGATCGGGGAGGTGATGTGCAAAGAGGGTCCGCGGTGCCTTTTAAGGGGATGAAGGATGGGTAAAGTAGAGCTGGGACGAGGGTTAGAATGCAGCCACTGAGGCCCTTCACCTGGTTAACAATGGCAGGACCGGGCTTCATAGTATTGTCCAGGCCACAAGGGTCCCTGGGGCTTTGTGTGGAAAGCAGGCTTGGCCTGGGTGTTTGGCCTGGAACAGCAGCAGGACTGACACCTATTGTACCGTCTTAGGTGCGTTGAGGTGTGTTTTCCGTCTGAGACCTTTGAATTTTGAGAGCTCCGTGTAATTAGGATATTTGGGAAGGGATAGGCTTTGTGTGGACCGCCTGTACTGACACATTCATTTCCCTTTCTAAAATGCCATGTCTCTTCTTTTCCTGGGTGTGTTCTGAGGCTGCTGTGCTTATGGTTGTCAGTGGTGGGTTATAAATAGCTTCCGCTCCTCAGGTGAGGCTAGGTTCTCTCCTCCTGCCTCAGGACCTCATGTGCACAAACCCTTTTGTTTGTTTGAAGATGATGCTCTGCTCCAGATCTGAGAGTAAGACAAACAGCAAGTGCTCACATCTGGCAGCTCTTGCTTAAGATGACCAGCGAGCAGTGGTCCATACAGTGATTTTTACCTTACATTTGCACATGCTCGCAAGCATCTTGACACAGTCTTATCTGGTTTAGCTTATTATCTACACTCTGCAGATGAGGAGAGTGGAGACTCTTGAGAGGTGCAGATGCTTTCTCAAGGTCACACGGTGGGCCTTCTGCCTCTCGATTTGGTGCTCTTTCTAGTGTATCAAGCTGACAACCACTGGGGTCGGTCCTGGGACTTCAGTACTAAACATGCCAGTCGTTTACCTTTTACAGTTCATCCAAAACTTCACCGTACCAACACTGATTAAAACAGCCTGACTGGTTGTCGTGCTTGCTTTGTGATCCCAGCCCTGGAGAGGTAGAGGCAGGGGGACACTGGTTCAAGGTCATCCCTGCTGTACATCAAGTTTAAAGTCAGCCTAGGCTTCATGAGACCCTATCTCAGGAAAGCAGGAAAAAAAAAATAGTTTTAACTGCTTTGGTCAGGCAAAATGTGGAACTTCCTGTTGCTTGTCCTTCTGTAAGGCTGCTTTTTTATCTCCTCCCTTCTCTTACCTCTTTTGATCCCAAGTGACCCCACCCAACTGGTCCAGTCATTTCTGAACAGAATGTGGAGTCAGAGCGATGAGCAGGGAAGCCATCTGGCCCACCCAGTCCACAGGCTGGGGTTTTTGTTGCTTCCCAGTTGTTTTTAAATCAAAGCCTGATTAAAAAAAAATTAAAAAGGCAGTCGTAGGAATTCAAGTTAAATCATATTAGAAGCCATGAGCAAGTTCTGTTTGTGAGAACCTCCATCTCACTGAGTCTGGTCATTTTTATTGGACTAATAGGCTGCCTTTTAGCTGTCTGGTCTTGGGGCCCAAGCATGACTGCTTTATCTCGAACATAATAATATTTGATTTCTTTTTTTTTTTTTCACTTCTAAATCCAGAGTTCAAAGTTGTCTCCCTCAATTTTGAAAACCCATTATGAACTTGTCATGATCTCATCTCCCACTTCTTTGATTAGCCTCCTTGTCACTTGGATGCTCTCCTCTTGGCACGTTTCTCGAGGCTTTTTTTTCCTGATTGCCCTCTCACGGATAATCATATGCATAACCTTTGACTAAGATAGGTGGGATCTGATCTTCACTAATTGATTAGCCTCACGTTGAATAGGAACAGTTTTCCTCCTTCAGCTCCACCCTTCTCCATCCTCCCGGGAAATCTGCCTCCAGTCTTTCGGCATATGCAGGGATAGAGGCCTTCTGAATTGGCTCCTCTCGGTGAGGACACCTGAAGCCAATGTGTCTGAAAACCCAGTACTCCCCAGTCATTATACAGGTTCCCATAGCCACTGTGTGCTTAGCCATTTTGTTGGCCCCTGAAATCTGGAACTAAATCAGACACGGTCCCTACCCTCGGTGACCTCACAACAATAAAGAATGTGTACTGTGTACGGCATACTCAGTAGTATGGGTTTTCATATGTTACCTCTGATCTTCGAAAAAGAGGGACTTAATGCTTATTGACAGTGAAACACATGGAGGCTCACGTCAAATAATGTGGATCAGGTCACATGTCCACAGGAGCCATAGCTAGAGGGAATGGGACAGGGGAACCCAGGAGTTATTGGCTACAGGGCCTCAGCCCTGTCCATACTAAGATATCGGAGAAGGTCAGAAACACCACTTCCTTCCATGTAGCCTCTCCTGTAGATGCCTGCCTACAGCCTATTCTGCATTAACTCTGGGACTACGTCAAGCCTTGGCCTATGCAGCTAGCATTCCAGAAAGGCCAGACACAGAAGAGAATGTCATGCCACCCCAGAAGGAGACCAGCCTGCCTGGTTCACGCACCAGGTTATAATGGGAAGACAGGACATGCTCTTGAAGCATGTATGTGGGATGTGGATTGAACCAGGCCTCTGAGAAAGATGGGGCTTCTCTGAGGCTCACTGCCCCGCTTCTGGGATGAGTTAGTTACTCTTGTGTGGTGTCTCATCACAGATTTTGTTTGCAGATAAGGAAAAGGGGAAGGAAAAACTGGAGGAGGACGAGTCGGCAGCAGCCAGCACCATGGCCGTCTCTGCCTCCCTCATGCCACCCATCTGGGACAAGACCATCCCCTATGACGGCGAGTCTTTCCACCTAGAGTACATGGACCTGGATGAGTTCCTGCTGGAGAATGGCATCCCTGCCAGCCCCACCCACCTGGCCCAGAACCTGCTGCTGCCTGTGGCAGAGCTGGAAGGGAAGGAGTCTGCCAGCTCTTCCACAGCGTCGCCACCGTCCTCCTCGACTGCCGTCTTTCAGCCCTCAGAAACCGTGTCCAGCACAGGTTGGTGACAGGCCTTTGTCATCTAAGGAGACCACTTCCCACTGGGTTCTGCTATGTCCACACTCCCTGTGTGCCCTTTTTCTGAAGCAGGGCCCGATGGGCTGCAGATTAGAGAACCCCTTGCCCGTAGTCTTTAGTACTGTCCGTAAGGCTGGGGATAAAGCAGTAGTTAGGTCGGCATCAGTTGGCCTTCCTCTGCGGGGACTGCACATGCTCAGGATGGTGGAGGGAGCTCCCAGGCCGCAACTCGAAGAAGAGAAATCCCACTCTGCATTTGATACCGTTCTTTTATGTCAACAGTATTTTGACCACAGATTCTTGGCAAGGTTAGGCAGTGTTATCAACACCACTGTTGTCATTTTGACTGAGTGCTAACATTTACTAGGACTTATTCTGTGCTAGACCCTAACAAAGAGTCATCCAGAGGATCTTACGAGACTATTCGGCCTATTATCCCTGCTCTGTAGATGAGGAAACTGAGGCACAGAGAAAGTGAGAACCTTGCCCACGTCACCTGGCTGATAGGTACTGAAGTAGTACTGAACCCAGGATGCTCTTCTGCATAGGCAGGTACCGCTTAGGCACTAATACAAATACCATTTCCACTGCTCTACAAATTATCTTCAAGAGCTAAAGGCATTTTTTACTGTTTTGGTTTAGGTGTTGGGTTTTTTTGGTTTGTATTTACATATCTTAACATAAACCCGCCAGGAAAGTTGTGTCCCCTGTTTGAGAAGCCACATTTTCTGCAGCCTCAGAGACATGGGGGCACATGTCTCCGGGACTCACACCATGCACAGCTCTCAGGGTGTGTTTCTGTTGAATTTTCAAAAGGGAGATTCTTTCAAATAAAATTTAAAAAGTAAGAAGTTGGAGTGTATATCACAGGTAGAGTATTTTATTATATATCTAAAATATTAAGGTCTTCTTTTTAGATCTGTTATTTTTAATTATGGGAAGCAGATATGTGCACATGAGTGCAGGTGCCTGTGGAGCCTAGAAAAGAACACTTCATCTCTTGGAGCTTGAGTTACAGGATGTTGTATGTTGTCTGATAGGGATGCTGGGAACTGAACTCAGGTCAACTTCCAAAGCAGCAATGGTCTTAGGCACTGTATCTCTGTGGCCCCAGTACAAGAGTTCAAAAACAAAACAAACAAACAAACAAACAAAAACAGAAGGAGCAGATTCAGTGTCATATACCTGTAATTCTTGTTACTCAGAAGACTGAGGCAGGAGGATCACAAGTTCAAAGCTAGTCTAGATAATATAGTGAGACTCTGTCTTAAAAAATAAAAGAAGGGCTAGCGATGTAGCTCAGTGGCAGAGTGCTTGTTTAGCATGAAAAAACCTTGGGTTCTGGACTGGAGAGATGATTCAGTGGTTAAGAGTGCTGGCTGCTCTTCCAGAAGATTCAGGTTCAATTCCCAGCACCCACATGGCAGCTCATAACTGTCTGTGACTCCAATCCCAGGGATCCAACACCCTCTTCTGATCTCTGTGGATACCAGGTATGAATGTGGTATACAAACAAACTTGCATACTCATAGAATAAAATTTTTAAAGCCTTGGGTTTCTTTCTCAGCGCTGTAAAATAAATTTTAATTAATTCAATAAAAATTAAAGATAGAGGAAATGGTGGGAAAGATGGTTCTGCCCCTAAGAGCACCTGTCCCGAGTTTGGTTCCCAACACCCATGTTGTGGCTCACAACCATCCATAATACCAGTTCCAAGGGGTCCAACAGGCATGTTGGTGTACACACATGCATGCAAGTAGAGCATTCATACATATAAAATGAATCCAAAAAAGGAAAAACCGGGGAGATGGTTAGTGTGTAAAAATGCTTGTTTCAGTGTGGACATAGCATAGTGTAGGCACGTCAGTGCCAGGGAATCAGATACTGGTCAGCTGGCCAGCCTACTAGAAATCGGTAAGCTCCAGGTTCAGTGAGAGACCCTGTCTCAAAAAATAAGGTAGAGAGAAGCCGGGCGGTGGTGGCGCACGCCTTTAATCCCAGCACTCGGGAGGCAGAGCCAGGCGGATCTCTGTGAGTTCGAGGCCAGCCTGGGCTACCAAGTGAGCTCCAGGAAAGGCGCAAAGCTACGCAGAGAAACCCTGTCTCGAAAAAAAAAAAAAAAAAAAAAAAGGTAGAGAGGATCGGTAAGATGGCTCAGCAGAGAATGGAATTTTCTCTGAGGCCTAATCAGGTGCTGGGAATCAAACTTCGGTCTACCATATGTGTCGAGGTCAGAAGAAAACAGCCCAGGCCCCACATGATGGAAGGAGAGAACCAACTTGTGTAAGTTGTCCTCCAACCTCCACATGTGCAGTTTGACATGCATGCAGGTGCACACACATACAAATAAAATAATTCAAAAGTTCAACGAAAAAGATGGAGTTATTGAGAAAGATAACCAACATTAACTTCTGGCCTTGACATGGACATTCACACATGTACACATATATCCACACATATGTACATCACACATTAGAATTTTTAAAAATATTTTACATGTGGAATTGACATGTAAATTGTGTCAATTAAAGATAGGGGAAATGGATTGGAGAGATGGCTTAGTCATTAAGAGCACTTACTGTTCATGCAGAGGACCTGAGCTTGGTTCCCAACACCCACATTGTGGCTCTCAATCATCCATAATACCAGTTCCAAGGGATCCAACAGGCATGTACATAACATGTATGCAAGTAAATCACAGAGATCTGCCAGCCTCTGCCTCCTGAATGCTAGGAATAAAGGCATGTGCCACCATGCCCAGAGTAAGAAAGGATCTTTTTTTTTTTAATGTGCATTGGTGCTTTTGCTTACATATGTGTCTTTGTGAAGGTGTTGGAGCTCCTGAAGCTGCAGTTACAGACATTGTAAGCTGCCATGTGGGTGCTGGGAAGTGAACCCGGGTCCTCTGGAAGAGCAGCCTGTGCTCTTGACCACTGAGCCATCTCTCTAACCTCTAAGGGAGATTTTTAATGAAGTATATATATATATATATAAAAGTGTGCAGTCCAGTGGATCCTCACAGAGTGAATCACCCATTTCACACTGCCCAAATCAGGATACAGAACTATGCTGGCATCCATGAAATGCCTGTGACTTTGGGCATTCGTCTTCTCAGAATTAATCACTGTTTCTTCCTATCACCAAAGATTACATTTGCTAATAGCTGAGCAATAGAATTGTCCTCTGTTTGGTTTCTAAATATTATAAGTGGGCTCTGAATATCCAGGATTAAAGACAGGATTATCACAACTTTGAGCCAAGCCTCGTTTATAGAATAAGTCCTAGGCCAGCCTGGCCTGCATATTGAGTTCCAGGACAGCCAGCCAGAGTTACGCAGAGAGACCCTGTCTCAAAAAAAAAAAAAAAAAAAAAAAAAAAAATTGATAGCTATGGACAGCAAGATGTCAGTGGGGGTGCTTGCCATCAAGCCTGAATACCTTGTGGGAAAGAACTGACTTCCGCAAACTGTCCTCTGACCTCCATGTTTGTACAATGGCATGTGTGCACACAGGCGCATGCACACACACACACACACACACACACACACACACACAAATACATAAATAAATGTACAGAAAGTTGAGCAGAGGATGCAGTGCAGTGGTCAGGTGTTTCCCTTACACTGGGGAGCCCCAGGTTTAATTCCCAACACCATACGTTCACAGACAACATTCATTGTAAGTTCATTGCATTACTACTCCTATTTATAACTTTATACAGTTTTATAATACATAATAAATTATGTGGGCATTAAAATGCCTTAATATTAATAAAAATATGCTGGTAATGGTGGTGCACACCTTTAATTTTAGCACTTGAGAGGCAAAAGCAGACAGAGCTCTCTGAGTTTGAGGCTAGCCTGGTCTACTGAATGAGCTCTAGAATATCCAGAGCTACGTAATGGAGAGATACTGTCTCAAAAACTGAACAAAAATAGTTTCACGGAACATATTTAATGGAAAACTGGGTATATTGGTCTATACCTGTAATCCCAGTTTTCAAGAAACTGAGGCAGGAGGATTGCAATGAATTCAGGCCAGCCTGAGCTACATATACCAAGGTACAAATGAAAGTGGAAGTCTTTAATTTTTACATTCATTTTCTAAAGAAGGCATAAATAATATATACGCTTTTGTGTCTGATTTCCTTTATACAGCATTTTTTCTCAGTCATCTTGTCCCTGTGGGAGAGGTTTGTTAATTTTCATTGGTAGATAATACTGTGTGAACACACCACAGTTTAGCCATTCTGCAGTTGAAGGACAGTGGGACTCACTATATAGTCCAGTTGGGGTTCTGAACAATGCTGTTATGAACATTTGTGTGCCTGTCTCTTGGTAGATACGTGCATGTATTTCTCTTGGACATTTACTTAGGAATAGACTTGATGAGTTGGTGAACAGGTAAGTCTTCATTGTCTCCTCCTCTTCCTCTGACAGGGTCTTCTATGTAGTCCTGGCTATCCTGGAACTCACTCTGTAGACTAGGCTGACCTCAAACTCACAGAGATCCACCTGCCTCTGCCTCCTAAGTACTGGGATTAAAGGTATGAGCTACCATACCCAGCATTATTTACTTTATTTTACGAATATGAATGTGTGCCTATGTATATATATATGTGTATAGTGTGTGTAAAATGCTCACAGGTCAGAGGAGGGCATTGGATCCCATGGAGCATGAGTTACAGGCAGCTGTGAGTTGTCATGTAGATGAGAGGACCTGAAAACCCAGGTCCTCTACAGGAGCAGTAATTGTTCTTAACCACTGAGCTCCAGGACTCACAGACACATATAACACCACATACACACACATATATCACATATTTACACACTTTTGTTTGTGTGTATGTGAGAGAGAGAGACAGGGTCTTACGTACATAGCAAGTAATGACCTAGAGCTTCCAATCCTCCTGTCTCCACCTCCCCAGTGCTCAGATTATAGGCTTACACCAACACACTCAACCTAATCCAGTTGAAAACCTCAATTTGATCATGCCACACTTGTGCCATCAACATCCCAGTGATTTCCTCATTTCAAGAGAAAAGTCTGGGTCAGCAACATCGGCATTTAGGGCAGATAATTTTGGGGGGATTGTAGGAAGATGATTGGTTTTAATTTTTATATCTTTTGTGTTGTAGGGTGTGTAGCAGCCTTCAGAATTCTATACACATGCCAGTTGCACCTTGGAGTCCTGATGTAGCCAGATAGTTGCTGTAGGGCAAAATTGTCCCCTGTTAAGAACCATGGCTTTGCAGAGCAGTGGTGGCGCACACCTTTAATCCCAGCACTCGGGAGACAGAGACAGGTGGATCTCTGAGTTCGAGCCTCGTCTACAGAGAGAGTTCTAAGACAGCCAGGGCTACACAGAGAAACCCTGTCTCAAAAAAAAAAAAAAAAAAAAAAAAGAACCATGGCTTTAACCTCTCTGTTATACTGTGTTGTATCTGTCAGGACACTACCAGGGATATAGTTTGTATTCAGTCATTATCTGTTGCTGAATATTTGGTGTACTGCTGTTGGTAGCGTTGAACAGGTAGGACAAGGGTTCAGTTTTCTGTTAACAACTCTTATCTCAACACACAACCTTTGAACTCTAAAATTGACATTAATCCAATGTTTACCTGTAAAGCAGCCATATGGAATAGGAAGAGTAAGGAGCCAGAGTCAGCCAGGCCAAGAGTCACATTTTACTTCAGTTATTTACCTGTGGGGTTCTGGAAGCCTGTTGGATTTATCTGGGCCTTGGTGTCCTTTTCTGTGAAAGAAGAGTTAACGCTCATCTCCTTTCCGTTGTGAGTGGGTGAGGACAGCACCTGCCGTGGGGCTGCGAGCAGAACCCCTGCAGTTCTCTGCCTGGGTCCTCACCCCACTGTTGTCGTGGGGACACTCGGCCGGGGTTCATTCTTGGACTACTTGAGACACAGGAGGTCGAGTGGCATAATGAGTCAGTGTTTCACTTACCATTTCTCGGGGAAACAAAACACTTAGAAAATCCTGTCCATTTTGAAGGATTCTCCTTTGGTGTGGTCTGTTCCTGAGGGGGAAGAATTCATGGGCCGGAGGTAATTGAGTGGTTGATCACATGCTTAGCCCTGGGTTTGACCCATAGCACACAAAAAAGGGAAGTCATCTTAGGAACTGAACCACGTGTGCCTGCCTGTCTCCCTTTACGGCTGGTGATGTGGTTTTCTTAAGTGGCAGTGGTCTGTGAGGCCTCCAGGGTGTCTGGTGGGGTGACATATTTTCTCTGTCCAGCGAGATGCTTCTAGATCTTTGGCCTCTGTCTTTCAGAATCATCCTTGGAAAAGGAGAGGGAGACCCCAAGTCCCATCGACCCCAACTGTGTGGAGGTTGATGTGAACTTCAATCCTGACCCTGCTGACCTGGTCCTCTCCAGTGTGCCAGGTGGGGAGCTTTTCAACCCTCGGAAGCACAAGTTTGCGGAGGAAGACCTGAAGCCCCAGCCCATGATCAAAAAAGCCAAGAAGGTCTTTGTTCCTGATGAGCAGAAGGTAAAAAAGAAAAACATCCTCTAGTAAAGGCACAGCAGTGGTTTGAGAGTCTAGGGTAAGCTGTGGCAGATCTCAGCAGTGCAACTCAGTGGCATAGCTCGGCAGGACGGTGCTTGCTGGGGACACATGAGGCCCTGAGCTCCATCTCTAGGGAGCTCAAGTGTGGTGGCACACACCTTTATTCCCAGCACTCAGGAGGCAGAGGCCAGAGAGAGACAGACAGAGACAGAGAAACGAGAGTAGGGACCGTGCTTCCTCATGTGTGATTTTTTTATATGGATACCACAGGAGTTCTGTGCTCGGAGCCACATCAGCAACAATTTGATGGGAAGAAATGGTTAGGTGTGGCTTGGCCTCAGTGACTCTGATAGTTCCCTTCTTTGGGTTAGTGTTCCACCTCCCTGGCATTAGTCCAGCCATCAGGAAGAGGTCACTAGACCTCAGAAAGCAAGGTTGAACAGTTTCAAAGGACAAAAGACACCTTGTAGGGTTGGGGTACAGTGGTTCTCAACCTCCCCAACACTGCAACCCTTAAATACAGTTCGTTATGTGTGGTGATCCCCCACACCATAAAATTATTTCACTACTACTTCATAAATAATTTCCTTCTGTTATGAAGCATAATGTAAATATCTGTGTTTTCCCATGGTCTTAGGCAACCCCTGTGAAAAGGTTGTTTGATCCCCCAAAGGGGTTACAACCCACAGGTTGATAAATGCTGTCTTAGTGGGTAAAGCATTTACCACAAAAATATGAGGACCTGCCTGAGTTTGCCACAAAAAACCAAAACCATAAGAACCCATGGGAAAGCTGTAACAGGTAGTGTATGCCTGTAATTCCAGTGTCTGTAATACCGGGAGAAAGGAGGCAGAGGTAAGAGAATTGCTGGACACTGGGCCACCTAGCCTGCCAAACACAGTGGGAAACAACAGAGATCCTGTCTCAAGATGGACAGTGAGGACTGACACCCAGAGTTATCCTCTAACATGCACGCATGCACCATGGGGCACGCCCCTTCTCTCCCTCTTCCTGCTCCCTCTCTTTCTTGCATGGTCTTGTAGAGTCAGGTTTGAGCTCAGGGGACTACACCTATCTTCGGCTTTTGACCACCACTAAGCATGGTGTGGTGGCACAAGTCTTTAATCCCAGCACTTAGGAGGCAGAGGCAGGCAGATTGCTAGGAGTTCAAGGCCAACCTGGTCTACATAGTGATTTCTGGGACAACCAGAGCCATATAACAGAGACTCTGTCTCAGAAAGAGGTAGGGAGGGGGGATGTTAACCAGTATGCCTAAAGGAGGCAAGGGCAGAGCACCCAGCAGCACACTGCCTGTCGGGGAAGACGTTTGCTCCCATCATGCAGCCTGCCCTTCTGAGACAGGGCAGTGTCCCATGTTATAATGGTCCATTTCTAGGGTCCTATCTTTAGTTCTTACCGCAGCATTGAACTGAGGGGTGGGGAGTAGACCTGGGAGGAAGGAAGGAAAGCTAAGGTTCCCTCGGGGAGCACCAGACACCCACAGAGGGCACTTTCCCACAGGATGAAAAGTATTGGACAAGACGCAAGAAGAACAATGTGGCAGCTAAACGCTCCCGGGATGCCAGGCGCCTGAAGGAGAACCAGATCACCATCCGGGCGGCCTTCCTGGAGAAGGAGAACACAGCCCTGCGGACGGAGGTCGCTGAGCTTCGCAAGGAGGTGGGCAAGTGCAAGACCATCGTGTCCAAGTATGAGACCAAGTACGGGCCCTTGTAACCTGTGCCCCTTGCCCCGCAGGGCACTGCCTGCACTTGAGACCTCTGCCTGGGGCTTCCTGGACCCCACACTCGTGTGGAGACTTAGGACTCTTCATGGGCACATGGTGGCGTACCTGCTCTAGGAGCGTTCACGTCTCAGCTTCATTATAACATGGCCAGCACACGTGGTGACTTCCCCAGGGGACCAGGCTCCTCTCTGATGGGGAACATGAGCGAATCTGTGTAGACGGGTAAATGGCCCGAGTCTCTCTTCTTGGATGTCCCAGCCGAATCATAAGGGACCTCTGCAGTCCAGATCTCTCTTTACAGAGTGCTCAGGCTTTCCCAGCCTTCCTCAGTCTCCAGTCTGGACCGACAAGGGCTGTCTACAGAATGAGTCATGATTGTTGTCACCCTAATGTTGTCTCAGGTAGCAGGTGCATTTCCACTTGGGGTGTGTCTGTCATGCACCTCACCCTCCCCGAAAGAATCTTTGAGAGAAACCCTCATTCCCCTGTGTCTCGGAGCCAGGACACGCTGACACTCTGTTAGTGTGGAGGATGGTGGGCCATAAGAGTGGGGTCTCTGCCTAGCCGGGAACTGGGGTGGGGCTTGGGGCTTTCTGCAGAAGTACACCCTACCATTCTTAGCTCCCATGGCCCTTTTATCTTGTGGCTTTCGGGCCTGAAGCAGCCCTGGGATCAGCTCCCTCTACATCCCACTTGCTATGGAAGAGACATTTCCAGGATGGCTGGTCTCTGGGCTCCAATTGCCAGCATCTAAGGCAGCCCTTGTATCTCAGGCCAGTCTGGAGGCTCCTGACTTCCGCTTACCTAGCTTCTGGTTATTTTCACCCAGGAACCATTCTCAGATCTTAGGTTTAAAAAGAAACCCCATCACCTAAGAAGCTTAAGCTTCCTAGCCCAAGGTATTTAGGAAACTGGGCTCCAGTCTCCTGTTCTGGGCACCAGAGCTCCATTGGTTCCTTGCTCCGGCTCACGGACATGTCCCAGGCCAGACTCTAGTCTCCCTGAAGACAGAAGAGGGCCTTTCACTTCCCAGATCAGAGTCCCTCCCCGTGAGTCACAGGAGCTGCACTTGCCAGAGTCACAGTGCAGCTCGTAGGACGGCGGGCTCTGGAGACATTTACACAGCCTGGAGTTCCTCAGTCTTGGTCTCCGGAGTCAGGGGCTGCCCACCCAGGTCTGGTCATGGGGTGGGGTGATGCTTGCAGCTGTGGCTTCCTCTGCCTCACAGCTGTACCTTTCTCTTCTGTTGGGCTGAACTTGTGTTCTTGCTCTGGCCAGAGGATTGGCTGAGGGAATCACGGAACCCTCTGCTCATGTGGGTCAGTGAGGGCACCCTTCAGGAGGGTGTGTTTATTTGCTCAGGGTGGGCAGCCTGTGTGAAGGAGACAGAGGTGACGAGGGTGCTTTATTATCCTTAACACTGGCTTTATTTTCAATGGTGGCTTGGTTTGGGGCCCCAATCTTTTAAGACTTTTCATAATGATGTTAAGACCAGGGCAAACCATCTGCTGGCCATGGACTGCAGCCAGGAGATGCCCTGCCCGTCCTGGGACCTGCCCACCACCTCTCGACAAAGGTCCCTGACTTTGACTTTGGTTCTGTAGGAACCATGTGCACACTTGTCTCTCTGTTGTAACCACAAAGGGCAGTTGCACCCAGCATGTCAGTGTCCTGCCCCAGCTGCCTGCCTCCCACCCACCCGGCACTCTCTGGCCGCCTGTTCACCCAGAGGCAGTTCTCGCTTCGTGACTGGTGGACAAGCCTTGAGCTAAAAGGCTCTTCGTTCTCTTTGGCTAGAAAATGTAAGGTTTGTGTTTCTAAGTTTTAGTTTTTAAGGAATGGATACTTATCTCTGGATGCCATCTGTGTTCTGACCCCAGTGGGTGGGTTGGGGCTTAATGTCTCTCCCTTGGTCCTACCTTCTGCCTTGTGGTGCCCTCCTTTCCTTCCAGAAGTTGGGGGGGGGGGGTGTCTGGCTCCTCCTAAAGTACTTACTGGGAAACAGTGTGACCGCTTGCTTCTTGGAGAAGCCTTTTGAAAGCGGCAGGTACAGGAAGGAGCATGCCTGGAGGTTGATGTCCTGGAGAGAAAGTATTCACAGAAGGGCCGCTCCTCCGTTGGCCTTCGGACCCAAGGCTGTGCAGACAGAGTCGACCTCTGGGGTTTGTCTGGCCGTGAAAGTCTAACTCCCTCTAGGAGCTGATGGCTGAAGTCTGAGGCTCTGGCTCTCAGATCTTTGACATCTTGTAAAGAGAAGCAGGCTTGAGAAGCCAACTTCTGTTTGGCTCTCCATGGGTTCACCTTGGGATGAGAGGTGCGCTCACTTCCTAAGCGACCTGTTCTCAGCTGTGGCAGCCTCCTTGCAAACTCAGAAAAGATGCATGAATGAACTAGAATGCTGCAGGAGTGTACATACAAGAAATGTCTAGATAAAAGAACTAAACATGTTTGGAGAGAGCCAGCCACCCTGTGGAGGACCTGCCTCAGTCACCTTATTCTTGGCCCAAAGGCTGAGGTTTGTGGGTCTGACTCCCTTGGTTGGGGATGGTACTAGGCAGTGATGCTCCTTGTCCACACTCCCTGCTGAGAGGGTGCTGTGGCCTGCTTTCCACTCAGGCAGCTCCTCCAGTCCTCCAGCCTGGGGACAGATGTGAAGCTCTCCAGTGGCCCTGAGAGGTATGCTCCCTGTAAGGAGGGGCTGTGGAGCCCCTGGTTTCCAGGGCCAAGCCCCACCCACAGCTTCTTTAACATCTGTTAATTAAGTGCAATAAATTTTTCTAGAAAAAGGCAAAGATGATTTCCAGGTAGAGATTGCTGTCTTTTGGTATTGGGATGCCAGAACACCACTTGGTTTTATTTTTCTAAGTGCATGTGATTGGTAGAGTGTGTGGGGCTCTGCATCCTCCCTGGGAGCCACATTCCAGCGGCCCTCTCCCTACCTTTGCTGGGGGAAAGAGGCCAGGAGAAAACCCCTCTGTCCCAGCTGCAGAGGTAGAAGCAGACAGCAGCCCATTGGCCTTGTGTGTGTGTGCGCCTGTGCGAGTGTGTCACGGCTGCTGGGCCGGAGGGTGTGGTGGGGGGAAGTTGGGAATGTATCCTTTTCAGACAAATTAAATATTTTGAGACGAGAATTTGGCGATGGTCTTCTATGTTACTCCTCTCCTCCTTTCCTTCCTCTGTGTGTTGGCATGAGAACCAAGCCAGAAAACTCTCTGGAACCCCAGGCAGCACCTGTCAATACCAGCTAGATAGCCCTGGCTGCGTCCCCCAACTCCTCTGTGCTTCCGTTTCTCCAGCTCTCAAATCAAATCCCTGCCCTGTTTGTCTCGAGAGGAGGACACACACTGGAGCAAAGGCAGGTTGAACACACTGATACAGCCAGTAAAAAGACCTGGGCCGGGCGGTGGTGGCGCACGCCTTTAATATCCCAGCACTTGGGAGGCAGAGCCAGGCGGATCTCTGTGAGTTCAAGGCCAGCCTGGTCTCCAAAGCGAGTTCCAGGAAAGGCTCAAAGCTACACAGAGAAACCCTGTCTCAAAAAACCAAAAAAAAAACAAGACCCGGAACTCGGATGCCTGATGACAGCGGTTTAAAAAAGGATGGACTAAGAGTACAAGCTTAGTTCCCAGAACCCGTTTCCAGCCTAGAACTTCTCTAATTCCAGCTCCAGGGGAGCTATTCTGGCTTCTGTGTGCTCAAGCATGAGTGTGTGTGTGTGTGTGTGTGTGTGTGTGTGTGTGTGTGTGTGTGTGTGTGTGTGTGTACACGATGAAATAAATCTTAAAAACTAACAAAGCTGAATGTGATAGTTTGCGTATGTAATCACAACACTCCTGCTGAGATCAGAGACGCAGAGGAAAACCAGCAGGTGAATTAGCCTGGAGTACACAACCCAGAAACAGGAGAGACTGTCTCAGTTAGGTGCGAGGTGAGAACTGCCGAGTTAACATTGTCTTCGACCCCCACATGCATGCTGTAGCATGTGTCCACCTACACTCTCACACATACACCATAATCATAATGAAACATTTAAAGTCCTTTGCCTTTAATCCCATAACTCAGGAGGCAGAGGCAAGTGGACCTCTGTGAGCTCAAGGCTACCCTGGTCTACATAGTTCCAGGACAGCCAGCACTACACAGAGGAAACCCTGTCTTGAAAAACAACAACAACAAACAAAAAAAAAAATGAGACAAACAAATGAATAAATGTAAATAGGTAAGAAGTAAAAAGGCTGGAAAGATAAGATAGCTAAATGAAAAAAATGCTTCCGGTGCGGGTGGGAGGACCCTAGCACAAGACAGTTTCCATAGTGCACACAGCTGCAAATGAGACACAGTCTCTAGATGAGGTGGAAGGTGAGGACAACACCCAAGGTTGTCCTCAGATCTACATGTGTGTGTGTCACGGCATGAACATCACGCACACACATAAAACAGCGCACACAAGAGACAGTGCATTTCAGGGGGGAGCTGTTTGTGAATTCCAGCAGTTCTGGAAGATCATCAATTAGAGGTTAGCCTGAGCTGCACAGCTATGTTCTTCGTGGCTACATGGCTATGCTCAGGGCACCATTTGCCTCCCTGTGGTATTCACAACATAAAAGGAAATGTTGCTTCCAGAGTAGAAGTCAGAATTCTTTGTTTTCCCTTTCACCAAATTTTCTGTGTTCATGAGATTTTTCACAAGCAAAGGTTTTGTTTGTTTTGAGTGAGAATGTATGAATGAATGAATGAATGCAGGTGCCTGCGGAAGCCAGAAGAGGGCGTCAGACCCCCTACATTGGAGCTACTCTGGTCCTTCTCAGGAGCCAATGGTGCTCATAACCACTGAGCCATCTCTCTAGCTCTCCAAAGACAAGTCTCATAAACAAGGCTGTAGCCATTTGCAGGGCACCAGCCCTGTCTTTGTTTATTGGTGGCTCTGCATTGGCACCTCTGGGTGTGCTGCTCAGTTACTCAGGAGCTCTCCTCCAGGGCACGAAGTGACTCGGAGTGGGTGTGCCACCCTCAGCAGTGCCCGCAGCAAGTCTCTCCCAGCCTGGTGGTGGTGGCGGCGGCGGCGGCGGCGGCGGCGGCGGCGGCGGCGGCGCACGCCTTTAATCCCAGCACTCGGGAGGCAGAGGATCTCTGTGAGTTCAAGGCCAGCCTGGTCTACAGAGTGAGTTCCAGCACAGCCAGGGCTACCCAGATGGAAAACAAGAAAAAGTTTCCTTGCCATCTCCTCTGCCCCCATCCTTCCCTGCTTCCATTCCTAGCAGTTCCTGCTTCCTCAGCCAGGCCTGTACCCTCCCCCGTTTTTATAGTCAAAGTTGTTCATACTTGGGAATCCCTGTGGTTTGAGGGACCAGGAACCATTTGTAATTTTATTTGTAAAAGATGTACCTGAAGTTCAGAGAATGGCTCTCCAGGTAGGCTTTTTAAATAGCCATTCTGGCCGGGAGGTGGTGGCGCACGCCTTTAATTCCAGCAGTTGGGATGCAGAGGCAGGCGGGTCTCCAGGTTCAAGGCCAGCCTGGTCTACATAGTGAGTTCCATGACAGAGAAACCCTGTTTCGAAAAACCAAATTTGAAAAGGAAAGAAACAATAGCCATTCTGCAAATAAACCCTGAGAAACTCACAACCCTGCCTCATCCTCCTGAGTACTGGGATTAATAGGTGTTTTCTTTTTAATATATAACTTTCAGTGGTCTGTGTCTGTATGAGGGTATGTGCCCCTGAGTACCGGGTCTGTGGAGACCAGAGGCATTGGAGCCTTTGGAGCTGCAGTTACAGTTGGTTGGTAGCTGCCTGACCTGGGTGCTGGGAAAGCTCAGGACCTCTGCAAGAGCAGTACAAGCTTTTAACCACTGAGCCGTCTCCCCAGCCACCAGGTGTTGACTCCCCCCTCCTCCCCCAGCTGAGGACCAAACCCAGGGCCTTGTGCTTGCTAGGCAAGCGCTCTACCACTGAGCTAAATCCCCAACCTGGGTGTTGACTTTTTAAGAGACAACCTCGTGTTACTACTATATAGCTCAGGCTAGCCACCACCTCCACAGCTAGAGGTTTGTATCATCACATTCAGCCAGCAGCTGTAGCTGGAGAATTTCTCTCCAGCTCCCGCCGCCAAGTCCTGCGAGTCCCAGAGCCCACTTATAAAATAAACACACAGACTCTTATATTATTTAAACTGCTTGGCCATTAGCTCAGGCCTATCATTGTCTAGCTCTTACTCTTGTATTTAGCCCATTTTTATTAATCTTTACTTTGCCACGTGGCTTACCGGTACTTTACATCTTCCTTGTCCTGGCGGGCGGCTCCAGATGGTCTCTCTTTCCTTCCTCCTTCCTCAATTCTCCTCTCTCCTTGTCCCGCCTATACTTCCTGCCTGGTCACTGGCCAATCAGTGCTTTATTTATATAGAGCGATATCCACAACAAGCAGCCTTGTTTTTTTTTTTTTTTTTTTTTTCAATTGTGATCCAGGCAGCAGGCACTGGGGCCCCCTGTGAGCCTCTGCTTACCTTCCACCAGTGGGGTGTACTGCAGGTTAACTTTCGGGGGTCCCCGGCTAGTGGAGAAAAGGGTCTTCAGGCCTTCGTCTGCTGCTTCCACTTCCGCTGCCTCACTGTCCTGGTCCACCCTCATAACACTCTAGAATGGAATCCATCTTTAAGGAGGAAGAGAGCCAAGCATTGCATGGTGACGCACACCTTTAATCCCAGCGCTCAGGAAGCAGAGGCAGGCAGAGCTCTGTGAGGCCAGCCTGGTCTACAGAGTGAGCTACAGGACAGCCAGGACTATGTAGAGAGACCCTGTCTCGAGGAGGAGGAGGAGGAGGAGGAGGAGGAGGAGGAAGAAGAAAGAAGAAACAAAGTGGGATAGAGATGTAACTCAGCAGTACAGGGTTTACCTAGTGTGCTTAAGGCAGCGAGTTCAATCCCCGGTGCTGAAATAAACACTACAGAAGAAGAAACTGAGGCTCAGAATTGCCCAAGGTCTCTCCCATGTACTGTCAAGAGCTGAGATTCCAACCTGGGATAAAGAGCCTAAACCCTGGGTGCTTCCGCCATGGTTACCCTCCTACCCATGAGGCCAGTGTCTGGCCCTGCTGTGCTAAAGGAGACCCCTCGCTCCAACTCCCCTGGGCTAGCAGAAGTCAGCCACAGTGGCCAGATCTGACTCACCTTCTCTGGGAGCAGCACCTTCCCGTGGGCTAGGGGCTTGGTCCTAATAAGAAAAGTGACAAGGCAGTGGGTGGCAATTTCGGCTAACCCAGACAGCCTTAGTGCCATGGATCCACACCGTGGGAGACCCGAGCCACTCCTGAAGGTTGGCCTCTGACCCCCACACACCCGCACTTGATGCTTCCCCAATAAATAAATGTAAAAAAATAAACAAGATCTGCCTATTTATTTATTTATTTATTTATTTATTTATTTAGATAGGGACCTGGCTGTCCTGGAACAGTGTAGACCAGGCTAGCCTCAAACCCCCAGAGATCCTCCACCTGCACCACCTCACCCACCAAGTTCTGCAAAGTTCTGGCTCCTTCATGTTCCCTTGTGGGAGGGTGTGAAGAGGGACGCTGGAGCTGAGATTCCAGCCACTCACCCCTGTGCTCTCCCCCAGGTGTGACTCCCCGCTAGCCGCACAAGGGACAGGACATTCACAGTGACATTGTTGACAAACAGAACCGGGGTCCGCAAAGGAAAGTGATTCCCATGGGAGCAGAGCCGGTCACCCGCAACCTCCCCCTCGATCCCACCGTGCCCACCTCACGGGGCCCCATAACCTCAGGTTCCGGGGCTCACTCTAATAACCCATTCTTACTAGACCAGTGTCTCCTGGGAGTTGCTTGTATGTAAATGTGGGTGGTTAACGAAGTAAGAGGGCACCTATACAGCTGTGTAGAAGTCAGCATCCCTGGGGTGGGACTTTTGGTGATAGAGCTGTTTGTTTAATGTATATACTTTTGAGACAAGGTCTCACTATATCACCCTGGCTGGCCTGTAACTCTGTATGTAGACCAGACCAGCCTTGAACTTAGAGCAATCCACCTGCCTCTACCTCCTGTTGGGTCAAAGGAGTGTGCCACCATATCTGGCTCATTCATTTTCTTCCTTAAATTTCCATTACATTTATTTATTCCCTCTATATATGAACATGTGTATATGTGCATACCTATACATGCACATCTGCTCAGAAGACCACTTCCTCCACCACGTGGGTCCCAGGGACTGAGCTCAGGCCATTAGGCTTCCACCCAGCTGAGCCATCTCTCTGCCTCCCCAAATATATATATATATATATATATATATATATATATATATATATATATATATATATATATATATATATATATATATATATATATATATATATTGGCTGGGCGGTGGTGGCGCACGCCTTTAATATCCCAGCACTCGGGAGGCAGAGGCAGGAGGATCTTTGTGAGTTTGAGGCCAGCCTGATCTACAGAGTGAGATCCTGGAAAGGTGCAAAGCTACACAGAGAAACCCTGTCTCGAAAAACATTATATATGTTTTATATAATATATAATATATATATAATGTCCCTATCTCTCTCATCATTTTTGTTTTGAGACAGGGTTTTCTTGTTTTGCTCAGGCTGGTCCTGAACCCCTAGACTCAAACAATCCTCCTGCCTCAGTCTCCTAAGTAGCAGCTAGGACTATACGTGCAGGCACCATGCCTTCCCTCCCATTTCCCTTCCCAGAGTCACTGTTGACACCCTGATTTAGATCACAGCCCCATCCCACCCAACAGTTCTCGAATCCAGCCATGGCCTGCCATCTTACCCCCCTCCCCTGGCCAGCATCCTCCTAATCCCAGATGTACACCCGCAGTCTGTTCTCACAGCAGCCTTGCATCCACCCAGCATGTCCTATGGCTCCCATTACACCCAGAGCCAAATCTGTGCTCACATCAAAAGGCCCGCAATGGCCAGCCTCCTGTTCCCCAGGCACTGCCTGGTACTCAGGTCTAGTTCTTTGACCAGGTACCTCCTATGTTACAGCACCCACTTATTGGTGAAATTATTAAGGCAACTCCACGTAGTTAAAATGGAGGTTTATTTTGTGGGGTAACTCACAAATGAAGGGATAGGTTACAGGGTCTGGGAAAGGTGTGGCGCAGTCCGGCGGTGTTCTCTGGAGAACTCTGCTCGGTCTACCTCCAGCGTCCAGGGTCCAGGAACCAAGAGCGCCAGCCACATCCGGATCTCGGGTCTTCAGGGCTCCTGTCTCGGCTCCGCCTAGTAGGCGGGACAGTTACCGAAGCCTCAGTGGGGGTTGGAACTTCCAGATCAAAGCTGGCATGGCTACCCACTACACGTACTGCCTGTCTGTGCTGCCTGGAGAGGCTTCTGCACACCTCCTTAGACTCCTGCTTTTCTCTCTGACTCCCCAGCAGGATCGATGTTGTCGTGGTTATCGAGGCCAGCCACCGCTAGGTGGCGATTCAGGTACATGCAGGGCAATGACTGGGGTCTTGCTTCTGGAGCTGTCCTCAGCGGAAAGCCTCCAACCTACCGCTAGATGGAGCTGTGGAACACCAGCTGACTCACTCTGGGCACTAAGGTAGCCTTCCGGGGGCTGTAGTGTACACAGATATCCACAGACCCCGGACCCACGGCGGGCCGCAGACTGAGCTTCTAGGCTTTGGGATTGGGGGTGGGGGGTGGAATTGGGAGGGGCTGGACCATAGGCTCCAAAGAGTGAAGCTGGAGAAAAAGTGAAGTTGGAGAACTGAGTTCAAGTTCAGCCAGAGCACAGGGTATGGGATGAGAGAGCCAACCTGGAGCTGCACCCTCTTTCCCTAACCCCCTGGATACGGTTGACAAGCTGGCCCCAAGCCTGGATTTCTCTGGCTGTCAAAAGGAATGATAAATGTGAGCAAGGACTGGAAGTCTATGGGGAGCTGAGCTGGCCTTGCTATGTTATGAGGCTGAGGCGCTTTCTCAGGTGAGTCCTGTGTGCAGGCAAGCAGCATGTGGACTTGGGAAGAAGCAGGAAGACAAGAAACATGGGGCCTCAATGTCCTGCTGTCAAATAGGACATCTCTGCGGCCTCCCCTGCCCTGAGGCCTGTGACCTGAAATATCTATGTGTCTTCAGTTGTGTGTGTGTGTGTGTGTGTGTGTGTGTGTGTATGTATCAAGGCCTAAGAGTGTGTGCCCACATCCAGGATCCCTCTCATTTTGGCAGAGGGCCAGGAACCAGGAAACAAGGGACTTTCATCCTCATGCCAGGAGTCCAAGAGCCGAATGACCAGCTCAGTCAGCAGTATGGCAGTACCCCCTTAGAGGGGGCAGCACACCCCGCTTCAAATGCCCCAACCCACCCCGATCGATAGGTGGATAATCTCTCTCCTTCTTGCCACAGTTATTCCTTATTTGCATGATATTTGCATTTACATTCAGACCCTTGCAGGGTTTTCCTCCTAAGTGAGCTTAGCATCTGATTCCCAACCCTGACCCCCTAGACATGGAGGCTTAGGACCTGTTGGCAGAGGTCGGGGAGAGGGAGGGGATGGAAAAGTTGGGGGAGTAACTATCCTAAGCTCAAAGTCAGGCTGGCTGAATTACTGAGCATTCATTGGACATTTGTGTGTAAGTGATGATTTGTATATAACTATTTCATTCTCAGAACAACCCTTTAAGGTGTGTGTGTGTGTGTGTGTGTGTGTGTGTGTGTGTGTGTGTGTGTG